TTAATTCTAGGACAACTTCGTATTTTTATCGCTACTTTTAGTCACATCCGTTTTGGCGTTAGTTTTTTTTCTTTATTATAGCTATTTATGGCATCATATAATTATGCAAATTTATGAACACCGCCAACATAATTTCAGGTCAAGGTAATGTTTTTCTTATAAAAATCTTGGGCTTGTATTTGTATATGTCTGCATATTCTGCGTATTTAGTTTAGCCATTTGTAACATTTTTAACAATCTTCAGCAGAGTGACGTCACCCTGCAGGTTATATTCCTCTTGTCGCTATGCAGACTCAATCCATTGTCACTAAACTGTCCCAATATTTCCCCATGTTAACTTCTCACTAGGGTACAACCCCTAAACTTTACATAGTGTTCTACGTGGCTCTAAATTTCCACCGTCTATAATCCCAACCATGTTAAAGTTCCCATATTAAATTCCCCCTTGGAGCCAGGGTAAAACCCTCTGTTTTAATATAGATTTCCCATTGACGCTAAATTGGAACAATCCCCTTGTCGCTATGTTCAATTACCAATTTATTCCATGTTAAACTTTCCAATGTTAAATTTACCTTAACTTGACGCCAAAGTATTCCAGTGGGTGTTTGTAATGTATTTTCCATGGACGCTAAACTATCCCCATATACTACTACTACTACTGCTACTACTACTACTACTACTACTACTACTACTACTACTACTACTTCTACTACTACTACTACTATTATTATTATTATTATTATTATTATTATTATTATTATTATTATTATTATTATTATTATTTATGATTTTGAATAATTGTCATGTGTTACCCACAGAACAGTATACAGAACAGTATTTATTAGTAGCAAAGTCCAACACAAGTCCCTACCACTACCACCACCACCAATCACCAAAATCGCCTTATAATAAAGAGTGCGCTATTTTAAAAAGGCACCTTGCATTTTCTCTTCATGACAACCAATATTATGCTAAAAGAAAGAAGCATAAAATTTGCCAATTATTCATGAGAGGGGACTACTAAGATTTAGTGTGAAAAGAGATGAGGTTCATGGTGGTCAAATGTTAAAATATTTGCTTTTTCTTCTAAGACAAAAATTTAAAAGAATTTTCTTTCTTCTTGATATAGTAACAAATGTATGAAAATAATCATTTTCACTATGATTATTTCACTTAATGTAACAGTATCAAACATAAATTATTTTCACTCCAGCGTTCAAGGATTTCTAATTTCCACATAATTAAAGTCACTACACACACAATATTGCCACAAGACCTATTTGGAAACAAGAGCAAAATTAAAATGAATAGATTATTTTAATGTATAACATCAATGTTAATGTACTGTTTATTTCTTGTTGTTGGAGGGGGGAGGTTAGAACATCATACAAGGTGATATAAAAATACGAAAAGATAATTGCACAAAGATTCATATTTTTTAGAGTTAGATTTCAGAAGAAAAATATTCTTTCCCTGTCTTCCTCAGTTGTTATACTGGCTGTTAAAATTAGGTTGCATATCTTAGATATAGTGAAAAATGTTTTAATTCTTATTACTCTCTTTTTTTACTGACGAGTGTGATTTGTGTCATAGAGAATACAGTTTTTGACCTTTACTTCAGATGTGCATCTAAAAAAATTAGACTACTAGTTCTGTTTAATGATGCAAAATTTTGTTTCGTGTATAGTTTTGCTGTACATTCTGTCGTGGTCAGCGTGACACACAACAATTAAAATTGACGTATGGGATATGATTGCCGTAAATTGGTAGGTTGTGGCGACTAACATCTTGTTTGGAGAAGATATTGTATTCTGATTAGGAGACGCTAGTAATACTTGCCAAAAATAGTATACCTAAGACTAATTCATGCTGATTTTTTGCATCACATGGGAGCAGTCATTTTTCTTAGCTGTGTGCTTAGATCATGTACAATTTCCTCATTTACACTAAGTAATCTCAATCAAAATTTATTAACATACATACATACATGCATGCATGCATGCATACATACATACATACATACATACATACATACATACATACATACATACATGCATGCATGCATGCATGCATGCATGCATGCATGCATGCATGCATGCATGCATACATACATACATACATACATACATACATACATACATACATACATACATACATACATACATACATACATACATACATACATACATACATACATACATACATACATACATACATACATACATACATACATACATACATACATACATACATACATACATACATACATTAATTTTGAAAAGGCATTTGGTTTTCTGGAACAAAATATTGTTCAAACATTTTAATGCTGGAATATGAATATTGATCATTTTGTTGGAAACCCAGAATCTAGTGTATATACTCACCGTCAAACACTGCGTCATGACTATTTTTTATTGAAAGTTTCCTAAAGTAAAATTCACCAACAATATCCTTGATGCCAATAAATTACAAAAGGCAACCTTTATCACATTATTCAAAACAGTTAAATAAAATTTACCAAAAAAATCCTGTAAGAGAATGTCATATAAAGCAAGGTTTTAAAAATTCTTAAACAGGGAACTAGGCCCAGATTACAAGTAATTCACATACTAAATTTACAAATCGTTGCTTTTTTATCTAACTTTGATGAAATTCTTCTTCTGCCTTGTAAAAAACATTGTTTATACCCGATTAAACAACCTTACGTGTACAATATTTTCTTCATGTGTTACTCACATAGTTGGAATGATACTACACCAGAGGTTTTCGAATATAGGATACTTCTGTAAACATTTATACTGAGCATCTACCTTGCCACTTACAAAACGAGCGCAATACGGAACGTGAAGAGATTTACACCTGGATGAACCCTAAGAAAACACAACGAAAGGTAGATAAAGACAACGGATAGTTAAGTGATATTTTTTCACGCATGTATCCATTCATACCGACGTCGTTATATGAAGCCAGAAGTTGCTGACAAGGTAAGTGTGATGTAGATACTTTAAGGAGATTATGTACAGTTTGTCGACATCTTCGTGTTCGGTTGTTTCGGTAAGTAAATTGTTTAGACTGGGAAAACAAATTGCCAGCCTTAACTGCAGAGAACAGAGCAAACGTTTGCTAAAGAAAAGTCTTGACACTAAAAGTTAAAAGTGGATGGATGGTATGAATTATTAAAAATATCACGCATGGTTGATTTGACTTTTGTAATTTTAACTCTCTCTCTCTCTCTCTCTCTCTCTCTCTCTCTCTCTCTCTCTCTCTCTCTCTCTCTCTCTCTCTCTCTCTCTCTCTCTCTCTCTCTCATATTTGAATTTTTTTTTGTCCAAAGGTAACTAAACGATCCATTCCTTGCGACTCCTAATTGTTCAACATGGAGCTTGTCACACGAGACATGCACTAGAGCAGTGTTGGCTTAGGATGGAGAAGAAATTTTTTTTTTACAGTTTGCTTTTTAATCGATTATGGAAATTATAAATGGATACGTATACTCTGGGCTGTTGCAGCAACTTTCATATTTAAACTTAAAAGGAAATCGTTGTTGATTGGAAAAGGATAAAGGGAAAACATTTAAAATAAAAAAAGTTCAGTTGTAGGTACAACTTAGTCACTTATGAATGAGATAATAATTTGGCAATGTTTATCTTAAAAAATTGATTAATTTAGACATACGTGCTCAATGAAGTACATAGTCAATATTTAATGTAAAACGTACAACAATGTCTGGCATTTCCCATGAAAGCATGAATTCTTTTGGTTATTCAATTATAAGCTGTCTGCTTCTCATTTGCAATTGCGTTTTACCTGTGCCATATTATCAGCTTTTCCCCTGCTGCGGCTTAGCTTTATTACGCCACGTTTTTATGGATGCATTTAAAATTAAAAAATTTGAATTTCAACTTATTATTTGCTAATGAAGAAAATGTTGCATCTCAGTTAGGTTTATTCATTTTGCCATCAATAATGGTCTTTAGTTCACCATAATTTTTTTTTAAAAACCATTAGACGTTGGTTGTTTTCATAGTATGTGGCTTGTTAATGACATGATAGCAGAACATAACGGAAGAATTATTGTTCTATTACCCGGTGTAAGGGAATTAATCTTCCCTGCCATCTGAGACTAATAGACCACGAGCGAACTTCAAAGCCTTCCTGGAAATGTTCTCCGCCTTCGCAATCAACATCTTGAAATAGACCCAAATCTTTCGTATGTACTAAACGCCTCAAAGTGAATGAATCTCACACGTGTTCATTTTTCTGTTCGTGTGTATCGCAAGACAACAGGCATAATATGTAACAAAATCTTTACTTTCATCAGCAGTTTAAACATAATCTCCGCACTTAAAAGAAATTACCTCAGAAATTTGTAGATTAGCATAAAAATAGAGATAAATCACATTTTCATATTTTAGTTTTAATTGTAACTTATCCCCTACGCCAAATTGTCATTTAACTAGACATTTTGGAAAGAAAATGGTGTTGGGGATATGATTTTTAACGTAGCTTTTAACAATTTTCCAGTCATATCGCTACGATATCTGCAGTGTGGCAGTTTATAGTGATGTCTAGCACTGGGGAATCATGCCGCAGACATGTAGCATCATGTCCCACCCAGTCACATTATCCTGACACCAGGCCGACCAGTCCTAACACTAAACTCTTAATGCTGAGCGTCAAGCGAGGAAGCTGTTAGTACCATTTTTGTAAGTCTTTGGTATGACTTGACCGGGGATCGAACCCACGACCTCCCGCATCCGAAGCGGACGCTCTAACCACTAGGCCATCCGGAGTGGTTGGAAAGAAAAATGTGATGTGATTAGGATTTTTTTAACGTAGCTTTAACAAATTTTCAGTTATATTGCTACGGTGTCTGTAGTAGGGCATCATGCACTCAGTCACGTTATCCTTACATCAGGCCGACCAGTCCTAACACTAACCTCATAGTGCTGAGCGCAAAGCGAGGAAGCTGTTAGAACCATTTTTGTAAGTCTTTGGTATGACTCGACCGGGGATTGAACCCACCACTTCCCGCATCCTAGGCGGACATTCTAACCACTAGGCCACCGGAGTGGTTGGAAAGAAAAATAAATAGTGTTTTGCTTTATGTAAATATTGATCATCATAAAAATCCATACTTTTGTATTAGATGTTCGTATATCCTGTTTCGAGTCTATGCTCTTAAAATAAGTAAAAGAAATGAATGAAGACAACAAGCTTTATAAAATGAAACAAATAATTTATTTCCCTAGAATACAAATTGAACAATCAAGATCATACTGTTTTACTTATCAAATCCCAAAATAATCGAAGAATTAAAAAATAAAAGAACTAATAATAAAAAGTCCTGATTTAAACTGAATTCGAGTCCCGATGAAATCAAATATGGAAGGCGATAGTGAATGTTGTGGTCAGCAAAGTGCTGTTGTGTCAAAAGTCATTTGCTGAGTCACAGAAAATATTATTCCAGTTTTGAATTCAGCATTCTGTCAAATAAATATCCTTGTAGAAGCACTTGTGTAATTTCAGGGAAAAGAATAACTTGAATTCAATAATTTGAGGAAAATAAAAATTCAACCCAAGCAAGTCACATCATAACAAAAACTTAATGTGTCAATTCTCTGGAGCCTGACTAACAAACTTCTATCAAAAGCAACAGTTATACGCTAATTAAGACGCAAAACATATTCCAGGATGAGGGTCATCAAAGATTCATTATTCCGGAAAAAAAATAGAAGTTTGTTTAATCGATTTGTCACGTAGTCTAGGTATGACCTTGACATTAACTTAATGATTCTAACATATATATATATGTGTATATATATATATGTATATATATATATATATATATATATATATATATATATATATATATATATGTGTATATATATATATATATATATATATATATATATATATAACAACCCACAACCCAATCACCGTTTTTGATCACTGCAATCTCATGTCTGAGTGGGTTCGAGTCTTAAGCTCAGCTAAACATGGGTACGTGAGAAAACTTGTCAGTAGATTGTTGTTTGTCTGTGGTTTTTCCTGAGTTTACCAGGGCTCTTTCTCTACCAGTTATACTGGCCTCTATGTATAGCCTGTCGTGTGCTGAAATTGGAATTAAACCTTACAACAACAACCGTATACCCAAAATTATTGCCAAAAGTCAATGAATGGTGTTAGAACAATCCAGCTTGCAATCTTTTCGTTAAGTACTATTTATGAAACAAATTATATCAAGTAATCATTAAAACAGAAATATATACTGTATCATATAAGTCAGTCAGGTGCCGAACGAAATGTGTAAGCACGTTTAAGACATTGGTTCGTATATATGTGTTAGCGCTTAAATGTTCATTTTCATGTAACTGGTGTACAGTAATCATCGAATACACAACACAGGAACATGCTGAAACCATAAGTGCACACTGGTGCTAGGTGCTACTCAGTGAAACAATTACAACAATATTTTTCGTCAGTAAGGCTTAGGGAGAAGGAAGCTGTATCGTTGATGAAAAGAAATTCTGAATGCAAAACCTCAGCTTTTCATGCCATTCCTGGTTATATAGAAACTAAATGCTGATGATTAAGTGTAGGAATACAACGCCCAGTGCTAATATCAAATATATTGGTATGAATTCCTTTTGTCATGGATGATTGAATCCTTACGAATACATGATACCATAGCCGTAGTTTTGTATCATTTCATTGTTTTATTGGTGGACATTACTGGTTGTTTTCCTTTTTGTTTGTTATATTTTCCATTCTAATAAACTGTAAAGATGATGACAGATTTGTTGAAGAATTATAGGCTATAACTGGTGCCTTTATTCGTTTAATTTTAAATATTGTGAAGTGCACACATAAATTTATGATCTTAGACTGACTTGATAAGCAAAATGATATACGACACAAAGAAGGCTTCTCTATCTTGAGGAAGCGTGAAATGCCAAAGCCCCATTGTGTCGTGGTTAAACGGAGCAGAAAGGAAATTATTAAAACATTTAGACCTCACCAAATAAAATTACTGGTAAGGAAAATTTTTAAAATTTCCAATTTATTTCATGATATAAAAATACAGAGCAAGGTCAAGGTCATGACAAAACATAAATCGCTTTTAGGACATATCATTCCTCTTGTATCAGAAAAGGTTTGCATTTATCTTTTTTTCCAAAGACTGCAACCCCACCTCTAACCCCCACACCACTGAAAGACTTAATCAGCTCTCGGGCTTCAATAGTTTTGTATGTTCGCTTTAGCTGAACAAAGCAATTTAAAAGTTACTTTATTTTTACGAAGGCATACTTTAATTTAATTCACACAACTGAAGCCATCTCTTAACCCTGTTAAAAGGTAAATATATTCACTCTAATTTGACGGAGTTTTTGTGTTCTATTTTATTTAATTTGTTTAAGCCATACAAAAGAAAAAGTAACTTTCAACAGCCGAAACGTATGGCTAGATCATTTAATGCTTTTATTGCGTTATTTGGTTTTAATCTGTGATTACAGGCTACTATATTTGAATTTTAATGTATTAGCCACAAACAGTGTTGTAATTACCTTGTATCAGATGAATTATTTTAGAAATTTACATTATGTATATAATGATAAATGTTACACACATATTAAAAAAATGTGGAACTTTGTGAGATAAACTTTTACGGTATAGTAGAGCGCAAATCAGTTTTCTATGTATGTATGTATGTATGTATGTATGTATGTATGTATGTATGTATGTATGTATGTATGTATGTATGTATGTATGTATGTATGTATGTATGTATGTATGTATGTATGTATGTATGTATGTATGTATGTGTGTGTATGTGTGTATGTCAAACCTATTCTTTTATTTAACACTGATACTGGCTGTGTGGGAAAATGCCGATAGAGGAGAATTGCTTAAATTAAGTGGCTGTGGATTCAAAGAGGACCTTTTTGTAATAAGCTTCCTAATTTTTATAAGTAATACATGTAAGTTTTGCATGTTCAGCGAAAAGAGTAGTCCACATCTACACGCGTATGTTACCTATCCGAACCACAAGCTTCTCTATATTGTGAAATAGTTCGCACGGAAATAGCGGTGTGAAAACACCTGCAATTTGTTTACATTTGCGGATTGTATATTGTAGCTGCGTAAGCTTACGCAAGATTCAGTGCTCCATTTGACACTATACCGTAGTTATATGATGATATTAGCGAACTGTTTAGAATGCATTTCGGTCAATTAGCGCCAAAGATGATAAGAATCATGCAAAATGTAATATTAACATGCCAAGTGGAACAAAATTAGGACATTATGTCTAGAATAAGTTTTGCTATAGGTTCAAGCTGTCTGATCGTCTCTTTGACTGGATGACGTCACGATTCAATATGGCAGCCTAAAACACAAACGCATTATTATGTGTTAGATACACTATAAGATAAGAATTCTTTATTTCAGACTGCATAGTCCATACATCTAAATTAAAATACTGATATAGAGTAAAACATTGTAAACATAAAAGAATATATATATATATATATATATATATATATATATATATATATATATATATATACATACATATACATACACATACACATATACACACACAAACATATACACATACACACACAAACATATACACATACACACATGCATACATATATATATATATACACACATACATACACACATACACATACATACATACATATATACATATATATATATATATACACACATGCACATATACACACCCACACACACACACACATATATATATGTATATGTATATATATATATATATATATATATATATATATATATATATATATATATATATATATATATATATATATATATATATATATATATATATATATATATATATATATACACAAACATACACATACACATACACACATACATATACACTAAAACATATATACATATCATATGTACAAGTAATCAGTTATATTTACAACAATTATTTGCGCCATGCATTGTTAAAAAATGAAATTTAAGCGACACATTTAAATAGTAATTGGTTCCATCTACTAACAATGTGCGAATTTAAATTAATGTCATATTTCCAAAGTGATTTCAATATACAGTTCTCACTATTAGAAAGTCTTGTTATCATTGAATATACATACTTTCTCATTACTTCCTCAAAACTTAATATATTATAATTAACAAATATGTTGGAGGCACTGTTCCATCTAGGAAGACCTAATAGAAAGCGAAGACTATTATTATAACCAATTACTAGTTTTCTTTTCACATTTTCACTAAAGTTTGTCCACAGTGGAGCACAATACATAGTGCAGCAATAAGATTTGAATAATCTAATTTTGATACTCAATGAAGAAGGCTTAAATTTGCGTAGAAGCATGTTTGTTCGAGTACACAAATATCGATAATGTCTCATCATATCTTCATTATCTGACTGATTGGATTTCAAAATATGGCTCAAATACATATAACTGTCGACATACGTAAGAGCGTTGCCGTTAAGATGTACAGAGGGAGGTGATGATAATTTAAAAGAAGTTGGCTGAAAGACCATGCATACAGATTTTTGTGTATTATAGATGATATCATCCTCTAATGCATATTGTTCACATATCTTCAATAATTTTCTTAAACCTGCGACAGACGGACTTATCAGTGACATATCATCAGCAAAGCTAAAATTGTTAAGAAACAGCCCATTTGGTGGCAGACGTAACCCTACGTTGCAATGGCCCAATATACGATTTAAGTCGTGAATGTAAATATTAAATAACATGGGGGAAAGAATACCTCCCTGCCTCACTCCATTGGTTACATGGAAAGCGCTGGATATTACACTTCCCCATCGCACGTAATACAACTGTTTGCCATACCAGTTGACTAAAGTATGAACAATGTACACAGGAATTTTAATTTCCAGCAACTTTTTAAAGAGTGTCCAATGACTGACTATCAAAAGCCTTACTAGCGTCTAAAAAACATGCAAATACTGGGCTGCCATGTTCCACATAATAGCTAACTGTTTCCTTAAAGGCATAAAAACATAAATCTGTAGAATGCTGCTTT